ATTTATGAGTCTCCCTTCCCCCTGATACACAGTGGGCGGATACTCAGAGATTGCCAGGTTATTGCTTCAGTCAGATGTATCTTCAAGTCCCCTTCCTACCACAGATTGTCTCACTGATGGTCCATTAGTCCAAGGGGAAAATACCACAGGAAGGACAGTGGGCACATGGAGACTGTGGATGGTTATGGTTGCCAAATGCAGGGGGTTACATCAGGGTGCACACCCATGCTCTTCCTTGCATCTCCTCATACTGAACCCTGCCCTCCTCCCCTGCCACATCTGGGCAGGTGTACACTGTCTCATGCACACACACTGGCCTTCCCTGGTTCCATTTGTGGGGGGGAGGGTCTCTGGAGTATAGGTTGCCCCTCCATTTTTTTTGAAAAGTCCTGCTAATCTACCTCTAAGCCTTCACCTGAAAGAACCTGAGGCTGACAGGAAGACAGAAAAATGGAGGGGGTCTTTCCTAAGATGGAGGCAGTCAGAAACACTGCCCCTCCAACACCTTGCCAGTGGTGCTGGTGATGGATGCTGGCTGCTGCCTCCTGGTGCAGCATTAATAATCACATATATTAATGATCTTAATTAGCAACTGCCAACAAGAAGCCTGGTGCTAATTCCACCAATAATCGAAGCTTGTGGGGTGTGGACAGGAAGGGCGGGAGAACTGATGGGTGGCTTGCAGCTTGGGTAATAAGACCCACACTATGGATAGTGCTGGGTCCAGTGAACTGCAGCCCCCCGCCTGAGGGACTGGAGAGATGGGGATAAGGAAGGACCCTGCCCTCCCTCCCCCCCCCACACCAGGGTTCCTCAATCCGTGCCCCCCCCCACAATGCAATCTCCTCAGTGATGTTGGGACAAAATGAAGCGTAAGGAAATGCAGAAGGAGGGGGCCTCTGTCTGAACCTTTAGAATCAGAACCCAGACAGCAGCCATGGGATGGAGGCAAGTCTGTAAAAGCCGAGTGAAATGAGCTAGAAGGGGATTGGGAACAAGCCCCACAGTGTCCTGAAGCTACATTCCTTGCTCTGGGGAGACGGAGATGGATGGTGCTAAGCTGGGAAGGAGGGGACACTGGGCAGGTGGGGGGGAGGGGGCTTCTCCAGCTGAGGGCTCTCCTGCCAAGAGGAGCAGGGTGGGAAAAGCAAGCTTAGGAGTCCAGATGATGCCAAATGCCCATACAACAAAGCCCACTTCCTCCCTCAGCCCCAGAGCCAAGGGGGCCTGCTTGGGTCTTCCTAGGGGCTCAAAGACCAGCCCAAAGTGGGCCCAGAGAGCCCTGGAAATGTAGGCCAACAGGAGAGAGCCACCACAGGGCAAGAAGCTCTCATCCACCTCTTCCGTGACTGCCCAAAGTAAGGTTTACCATCTGCAAATGCTTTGGGAAAGTAGGGCATGAAAGAGAGGGTACACTGTGGACTCAGGCAGGCCCGGCACTGGTTCAGCTTTTTTTTTTTTTGCCAGTACTGGGGCTTGAAATCAGAGTCTCGTGGTCTCCCCTAGCTTTTCTGCTCAAGGCTGACACTCTACCACTTGAGCCACATCACTTTCAGTTTTATGCTGATTCGTTGGAGACCAGAGTCTCAGATTTATCTGTCCAGGCTTGCTTGGGACTGGGATCCTCAGACCTCAACCTCCTGAGTATCTAAGATTATAGGCATGAGCCACCGGCATTTAAGTTCATATTTTTAAAAAGGTGATGCTTGGGGTCTCTGTAAGAATTCCCAAACGCTGAGAAGACTAGGACAGAATGCTCTGGAGTTGTTCTGGATTGGACCAGAGACTTGGCCAAAAGAGTAGTCAGGTGAAGAGTTGAAGAAGGGCCAATTGTCAAAGGGGTAGGAGATAAAATTCTGTTTCCTTGGCAACATGAAATGCCTTGGTTCCTAGCCCTGATCCCTATCCCCAACTTCCCTCATATCTAATAGCTTCCAAAATGTTATCAGCCTTGTGGCTACCTCCACCTTAGAATGAGGCCAATGTATATGTTGTACCTGGATCCTTACAGAGGCAAGAAGAAGGAGGGACACACGAAAGACTGGACCAAAGGGCTGGGAAGGTGGCTCAGTGGTAGAGCGCTTGGCTTGAAGGCATGAGGCCCTGGGTTCGATTCCTCAGCACCACATAAGCAGAAAAAAGCCGGAAGTGGTGCTGTGGCTCAAGTGGTAGAGCATTAGCCTTGAGCTGAAGAGCTGAGGGACAGCGCCCAGGCCCAGAGTTCAGGCCCCACGACGACAAAAAAAAAAAAGAAAGAAAGAAAGACTGGACCAAAGCATGAAGAAACATGACTCAGAAGCCAGCCTGATCCCTGACCCGAGGAAGACTGACTACCCTACCAGCACCTTCTCCTCTTAATCCAGTCTCCCTGGGAACCAAAACTCTGGAATTCCTGTGTAGGTTCTCCTTTTGTTGTTGTTCTGACTGATTTTGCCCTGAAAATCATTACAAATCCTGAGAAGCTTCACTGCTTTAAGGACCCACGAATCTCCAAAATGGCTCTTCACATGAGTAGGATGTCCCTTGCCCAGGAGTCTTACTGCTGGGCTCAGGTCCTGTGCCCTGTGGAGTCTCAAGGCCATTTGCTGGAGCTCAGCCTGGAAAGGCCCAAGTACAGAGGCCAAGAATGGATTGTGCGCTTGGCATTAAGCTCTCTTGCCACTGTCCAAGGGCTTTCCTCTAGTGCTGGACCACAGCACACAGTGTTGAGTGCCATCAGAGGGACTATACTTCCTTCTATTTCCATATCATTGGAGAAGCTTATTTTAGTTCTACCATAGCTGACCTCCCTCCCCTGCCCCCCTCCCCCAAGTAAAAATAAGGCTCCTTAACTGGTAGAAGAAGGCAGGAAGGAAGACCTGGGATTCACAGATCAGACAGGACCCCTTGGATCTTTACCCAGTAACGTACACTGCTTTAGTGGGACTATGAGTAATTCCCTTCTGTAAGGGAATTGATCTACCAGAATCCATTGAGTCAATACGATATTAAAAAAAGAAGAAGAGGCTGGAGAGAAGGCCACCAAGAGAGTGTGTAGGAAGGCTAGAATGGGGGGCCGTGCACACCACGGCCTACCCCTACAGTGGAGGCTCCTTGGGGACAGATGACCACCTCTGCTCATGGCCCCAGGGCCTCTGCGGGCCGCCACCCTCCTCCTCCCGCGCTGCGCAGGCTGGCGGATTCCACGGGCGATCAGACGGCGGCGGCGGCGGCGGCGGCGCGGCACAGACAATGGCGCTCTGTCCCGGGCCTCGGGACGACAGCTCATCCCTATGCAGTGGTCGCCTCCCCCCGCCCGGCCGGGCCGCCAGCCCCTTTCAGGAGGTGGAAGCCGAGGCGGCGACGGAGGGGGATTCTCACAGGCCGTTAGACATTTGCATAGCGGCGCGGAGACATTGGCCCGCATTGTTCCCGGCGGCGGCGGCGGCGGAGGGCGCACGGGCCCGGGCGCGCGGCTGACCGGCTGGGAGCGGCCGGCAGGCCAGACAAAGGAGGAGGGCGCGCACCGCCGGGAGGCGGCGGGTGGGGACATCCCCACGGTGGGAGAGAAATACCGGGGTGAGGAGGAGGGACAGGACAGCCCAGTTTGCCCGCGCACCGCCACCGCCCCGGACTTTGGACACCCACGCCGTGTCTAATTCCTCCTGGAGGGGGTGGGGGGGCGCTGCCAAGGCCCGTGATGTGAATCCCAATGGGGGGGATCCCAGGCCTTTCCCAGGCGGCGCGACACTCCGCGCTGTCGGGTCCTCCAGAGGTCAGAGTGGCTCTGGCTACACAGGCGCCCCAGCACCCGCGGCCCGGGTGTCCCAGGGCAGGAACTCCCCATTGTTCTCCATATACAACTTGCCAAGGGGAGCAGTTGAGAGCTCCCCTGGTCTTCAAGCCTTCCACTCACCTCAGCACCACCCGTCTCCCCCATTGCCAGGCCCTTGGAGGCAAGCAAATGTCCTCGTCCATCACTGTCCCCAGAGCTCAGGCTCAGGGACTGGACAGAGTTCATGAGCGGGCAAGTGTCCGATTGTCCTGCATTGAGAGTCATAATGGTGGTGATCAGAGGGGCTGTCCCTGCGTGGTAGAGACCTCATTGTCCTGAAGGGGTGAGGAAGGAGCCCCTTTGGCCGGGTCCCCAGCAGCCCCTTGACCTGTCATTGTCATCCTGTTGACCCAGTCTGAATGGATGGGCCACCCTGGCAGGGGAGCAGCAATGCTGGAGGGGGGGGGTCTATAGGCAAGGGGCGTGGGGGAGGGAGTCTAGCTTGTTCACCAACGGGGGTCCTAGGATACCTGTCTCTCTTGCCCTCAGAACTCCCAGAGGGAATTCTGTGATTGGGATGACCCCCATACCCAGACTTCAAATAATGGCTCAAATGGATGAAATGGAACAATCTACAGAGACTCACAATAAGGCCCTGCATTTGAGGCCAAATGAGAGAAGAAAACAGTAAAGAGCCCAAGGATGTGGTTTAAGAGCGTTGAACTCTGGGTAGAGTCGCCTGAACAAAATGATGGCTGCACAAGCTTGTGGTAGAGCTTGGTGTCATTGCCTGGATCATGGAGGGAAGCAATGAAGCTTAGAACTACTTGGCTACAGGACACTTAAGGCCACCTCACCTGGCCTTCATTGGATCCTGTCCTCCCTTTTTGGAGGGTGGGGTGGTGGAGGGGATGCTCTTTAGGCACTGGGGAAAGGTAGGGGAGAGCCAAAGGGTGGCAGACCATACAAGCACCCATAGTGACTTCTATAATAGTCTTATCTTTGGAAGATGGCTGGGAAATTGCCCTCTCCCAAAGAAGATCCTATTGTCCCTTCTCCAGGAAGTCTCCCTAGATTGTGATGAGTGATTTTCCCCAGCATGAATCATTCTGGGTTGGATGTGACCTTTTTTTTTTTTTTTTTAAAGTCTAGAAGAAAAGAGAGAAATCAAGGAGGAAGGATCAGTTGAGGGAGAGTCAGGCTGTAAAATGTTGGTATCATAAATAAATGAATATTCATAGCTTTCTCTACTCAAAGAGGGCTAGTCAAAAGAATGTCTTATTCAATACTCAAATCACCCTTTTTTTTGATCTCTGTCGGAGCTCTGGGACTGCAGTGGGGAGATGCTCAGGGTGAAATGGGGAATGGAGCCTCAGCTCTGCCAGGCTCCCTCTCCCTCAGCAGGCCCTGGCAGTGACGGGGGGGGGGGGGGAGCCTTTCTGCAATATCAACCGTCAGCCTTCCTCTTAGGCCCTGGTATCTCCTCTCAACATAACTAACCCCACCAGCAAGAGGTACGATTGCTGTGGAGGAAGGAGGGAACTAAGGGCAGCAGCCTTAGTTGGGATACATGCAAAAGGACGGTCCATGGAGGGCTTATCCCTGAACCACTCTCCTCCTCTTCTGATTTGTGCTTGGCTTCTTGAACCAGCCAAGCTCAGTTCCTCCAGCTGCACTGAGGAAGGAGAGGGTAAGACCCTGGGTGAGCCTCCAGGATTGACAATTCCTCCTAAGGGTTTCCAGAGCTGAAGGGTCTTGGTTTGGAGAAAGAGGTGTTTGCAGTCATATTCAATCCTGCCAGAAACCTGAGGGAAGGGCAAGAGAGGGCAAAGGGGGTCTAGTCCTTCAGTGTGGGAGGGGCTCGGGCTCAGGCCTACTGGAATGTCGGACTCTCCATGGGATGAGATCTGAAGCCCTTGGTAGGAATTTAGTATTTAGCTCAAAAAAGGTGGGTGGTGTGGATGCCTGAGAAGCAGAATTGAAGTAGACAGGAAGAGGGTTAGGCTGAAGGAAGGACTTCCACTCTTGGTAGAGGACCATGGATGACACAGAGGCAGCATCTTCTCCTCGGTCTGGAGTGCCCTCTCGTGGTAAAATGACTTTAAGACAATAGAAGATCTGGGTCAGCCTTCCTCATCCTCTACCACAGCCCCAAGCCATGAAAGGCACTTATTTCTGCAGGATATGGCTATGAGATGATGGCTGCTTCCAGCTTCTAGGGGTTGGTAGAAGACAGCTTTTTATGTCTCTCTTGGGCTCTATGGGGACCTCTTCCTATTCAGAGGCTGTCAGATTTTAGGATCCAAATGATAGCAGTTGGGGACAGGGGAGAATTTTGGGGCAGTTCGAAGTATGCTGAAACAGACACAGGATCTTGGAAAAGAATGGGCTCTCCATCCCTGGCAAGGACAAGCCCAGGTGGGGCACCCACCTGGCATCCTGCAGGGTAGTCTGCAGACCCATTAAGGCCTTCATCAGACCCAAACAGGAGTCAGAGTCCTTGATCATAGTGTTTATCATCCTCTGCCTCCAGCTTCACTGTAACTCTATGACACTGGCCCAGTAGAGCAGAATCATTTGAGACCTCATTCAGCCACTTTTACCCAAGGCCCAGGCTGGTAGGTCTGCAGGGATTGGCAGATATGAGACTCTCCCTCTGTCCCCACAATTATAGACCTGCCCTTTCAACCTGTCTCTTATGGAGTCAGCCTAAAGGCAGGAAGATCTTTTTGGCTCAGGACTTCTCTGCAGCAGGAGCTGAAAAGGATTTCCCAGTAGGAGCCATCCTCATCTTCTAAAGGGATAAGACACCAGAACTGGCAGCAGTCAGGCCCGAGTGTCTGATTCTTCCACATTCAGTGGTGTCTGAGCTTCTGGCTCATGCTGTCCAGGCACCTGGAAGGGAAGGGAACAGGGGAGAGGGATAGCTCCAAAGAGCTCAAGTTCACAGTTCAGAGATGTTTGCCATGGAAAAGAGCAGGAAAGAAAGGAAAGGAGGCAGATTAGATCACAGGAAGTAAGGCAAGGTAGGATCAAAGGGCATGAAGATCTCATAGGTACAAGTTTTCTAGCTGTGTCTCACCTCCCAGTAAATCTGGTCCTCATAGCACTGAGAATCTGATGGGGAGTCCAGATATGGAAACCTCAGCAGGAACCCTGGCAATGAGAGGCATACGTGAGACTTTTCTACCATCTACCCCAGGGGGAAGTCGCTACCCAATGCCACAAGGCACAGAGGGACCAGGAGGCATAAGGGCAACATGCCCTGCAGCAGGCAAACAAGAGCTACATTTGCTGAGCATCTACTCTGTCTAGTCCCTATGCCCAGGGCTTAACAATACCTTCCAGAGAAATTGCATCAACCATACAAGGTGCCCTGTGTTACCAATGAAAAAACCAAGGCTCAAAGAAGTTAAGTAACTTGCACAGTCAGTAATAGGCCAAGTCTTGTCATGAACCATCGCTCATCAGCTTTCTGTAGTTTCCCACTTAGAAGGGCCCAGAAAATGTTTACTGTATATATAAGTTATTAAATGAAGGAACTGAACCTTAGAGGATGAGAATCTTGGGTGAGAGGACAGTGGGTATTCTGAGTCAGGATTTTTTTTTAAGACACCAAGGACAGCCTGACCCAGGGTCAGTGGTCAGTCGGCCTTTGTGGAAGGAAGGTTTGTACTCTCTCCTGAATCAGGCCTCCTTCCCTCACAGATGATGGGGCCTGAGATGATGTACCTCAGCTGGGGAAGGGCTGCCCTCTAGTGGTCAGAGGAAACAGCACATGTGAACGAAACCCAAGGAAAAGGGACCAACCACTTCCACTTAGCAACCAGGAGGGAGCAAGCATCCACTTGTACCCTCTCATCCAAAGGAGATCCCTTCCACCCAGGGAGATCCCCCTCACTTAGTGCCCCTCAACTTGATTCAGCTCATCACCTGGCACAAGTTAGGACCTCAATACATATCTGTGATAAATGAATCAATGTTGGGGTAGAGGATTCCAAGGCCCTTCTTCCAGAGGATTCTTTCTCTCTCCTCTCTCCATTTAGAACCTTCTCCCAGCTTGCCACCCTCAACCAAGACCACTCACCTCCAAGACTTCCACCCACAAAGGCAAACACCAATGTGACAGACAGCCCAAAAAGCTGGTACACGGCTTGAGATTTGGCACTGCGCTGGCCCTTAGCTATGAGTGGAAACACATTCTCCAGGCTGCAGGAAGAACAAGTTATGGAGAACCAAGGGTAGGGATGTAGGAAGACACAGATGGAGTGTGGATCCAAGGCTAGTTATATATCAACATTCATACAAAGGACAGGAAGCAGCCAAAATGGCTTCCAGGGATCCTGGAGCCTGCCAGATGGAGTCATCCCCGGGCCTTCGCTGAAACCAGGCCATAGACTGGAATGCCATCCTGCTCATATGTCAGCAGATCCCACACATTTTTCAAGACCCAATTTGAGGTTTGCTTTTGCCTACTCTCTCCTCTGAGGCCTAGAATGTGCAAAAATAGATCCCAAAATCATTTACTCAATGATCAGGAGAGCAGTCCCCAGGTTCGTCCCATTCTTTCCAGTTTCCTTATATGGTGAAAAAACTCCAGGCTCCCACAGTATGGTAGATGAGTAGATGAATGAATGAATGAATCAAAACACATGCTGAGTTTTTGGCCCACAAAGAGGAGAGGAAGGGAGATCATTCCAATGGAATAACTTATGTGGGTAAGGAGAAACTCACCCATCTCCATAAGCTTCATGGGTGGCCAGTCCAGCCACAAGGACTCCCAGAAATGCTCCCAAGACCCCTGGCATACCGTGGAGGTTGTGGACGCCACAAGTGTCTTCAACTTTGAATTTTGACTCTAGGATGGGCTGGAGGACAGGGTGGGTAATCAGGCTCACGTGTTCCCTCCCACACCCACCCTAAGCCAGATGGGGAGGTAGAAGTGACTCCATGTTCTACCAGGGCTCTGAGATGTTGCTGTACCGTTAAGAACTTGTACCCCAGTGTGGAGATAGTTCCAGCCAAGAAGCCAGCAGTAAGAGCGCCAAAAGGTGTCAGCATCATTTCCCCAGATGTCCCCACCACAACCCCTCCAGCCAGTGCTGCATTTTGGATGTGGACCTAGGGGAGAAGGAAAGGGCAAAGTTTTAGAGATCTTTCAATCACCACACCACCTTCAACCCAACCCCAGCTATTATAGTGGCACCTACTGCTTGTGGAAGAAGTCCATCTGCCATCTAACCTCTAGCTCTCCTGCTCTCTTCCCACTCTCCCCACCACCACCAGGACAAATAGAACCCCTTGTGCTTGTTTCCCTGGACCATTTCAGACCTCTCTACCCCCTACCAGGCTATCCCTCTGCTTCTTCAAGACCATGTCATACCATGTCAAGTCGCCCATCACCACTGACAAGGGCTGAAAGGGCAAAGGTGCTGAGAGTGCTTGCAGTCAGGGAGTAGTATGTGTTGAGGGCTGTCCGATGCTGCACATCCCCCAGTGATGTGGGTGCAGAGTTGAAGCTAGGCCAGAAGATCCATAGGAAGATAGTCCCTAAATGGTAGGCCATGAGAGAAAGCAAGTGGCTCAAGTTTCAGACAAGTCACCTGTTCTCTGCAGCCTCAGTTTCCTCATCCACATGTGAAACTGATAATAGTATTATTTCATAAAGTGTGTGTGTGTGTGTGTTTGTGTGTGTTACATGGGGCTTGAACACAGGGAAGATCTGCTGTCTCTTAGCTTTTTTGATTAAGGTTGGTGTTCTGCTTTTTTTTTTTTGTCGGTTGTGGGCTTGAACTCCTACGACTGGGGGCTGTCTTTGAGCTTTTTTGCTCAAGACTAGCATTCTTCTACTAGAGCAATATCTCCATTTCTGGCTTTTGGGTGGTTAATTGGAGATGAGAGACTCACAGATTTTCCTGCCCAGGCTTGCTTTTTGAAATGTGATCCTCAGATCTCGGCCTTTTAAGTTGTAAGGATTACAGGTGTGAGCCACCAGCGCCCAGCTGGTGCTCTACCATTTAAGCCACAACCCTAATTTTGGTGATTAATTAGAAATAAGAGTCTCACTGACTTTACTGCCTAACCTGGATGAACTGTGATTCTTAGATTTCAGTCTCCTGAGTTGCTAAGATTACAGACAGAAGCCATCAACAGCCAGCTGGAATACTGGAAGGTGTTTTTGTTTTTTGTTTTGTCTTGTTTTTTTGTCAGTTGTGGGGCTTGAACTCAGGGCCAGGGCACTGCCCTGAGCTTTTCTGATCAAGGCTATTGCTCTACCACTTTGAGCCTCAGTTCCACTTCTGTTTTGGGGGTGGCTAATTAGAAATAACCGTCTCACAGATTTTCCTGTCTGGACTGGCTTTGAACCATGATCCTCAGGTCTCAGCCTCCTGAGTAGCTAGGATTACAGGTATGAGCCACCAATGCCCAGCTCTGAAAAGGTTTTAAGCAGGAGGGAAACGGATTTGGAAAAGTCTCTGGGTGTGAATGGGTGGATGTGAGTGCCCCAGGGCTGAAAGCAAAGAACGTGTTACAAAACTTGTAAGAACGATGAGCTCACACTTGAGGGCTTTCCATACAGAATCCAGGTACGAAGGGAATTCCCAGCCAGAACCCTGTGGTCCTGCGGTCCACCCCAGGAACCTTGACTGTAGATAGTCCCCACCGGCCCACACCCCAGGCATCTGAAACCAGTCATCCTATGGCACCCCACCTCAGCAGGCCTCACCAATCATGGCAAAGAGGTCCGAATGGTAAACAGAGCCCTGGCGATGCTTGCTCTTCTCCAGTTGGGGCCTGTAAAGGACCCGTGAAAAGACCAGCCCGAAGTAGGCACCAAATGTGTGGATGGTCATGGAGCCTCCAGCATCTCTCACCTGCAGAGGTAGAGCTGAGATGGAGAGACAGCCCTGGTCCTCACCCAAACACCTGCACTAAGTTTAAAATCCCAGTCTTGACCACTCACGCCCTCACACAATGCCAGTCCAGACTCACCCCCAGCAGGCTAAGGAGCACAAACTCATTGACGCCAAACATCACCACCTCCAGTAGAGCCATGAGCAGCAGCTGGACAGGCCCGGTCTTGCCCAGAACTGCTCCGAAGGAAATGAGCACCGCCCCGGCACAGAAGTCAGCGTTGATCATGCTGTAGTGGCACAAAATGGGAGGAGAGAGACAGGGAAATTGCTCCTGGGCCTCTGCCAGGCATGACACAGGGACAGCACAACACAGGCAGGGGAAGGTGAAGAGGGCAAGGGAGAGGGGGAGCTCTCCCCTAGGAGCCACAAGGAGTTACTCTACCCTTCCTGAGAGAAGTCTGAGCTAAGCTCAGTGACATGGCTGACAAAACTCACACTAAGTGGATGAACCAGAATGTGAGCCAAGAGTTCATCTATGCCTTGCCCTTTTCTACTATGCCAGCTAGCCTTGGAGCTCTTGGGAAATATGGGCCCTAAAAGAGTGGAGCAGTGGGATACAATGTGTGGGCTGAGATTGGAAGAAATCAGAACAGGCAGGAAGGGCACTAAAGAGATCAATTGATGGGTCAAAGATGGGCACAGGTGACTGTAATCCTACTTAGGAAGCTGAGACCTGAGGATCCTGGTTCAAAGCCAGCCCAGGCAGACAAAGCCACAAGACTCTTATCTCCAATTAAAAATCTGGAAGTAGAGCCGGGCGCTGGTGGCTCACGCCTGTAATCCTAACTACTCAGGAGGCTGAGATCTGAGGATCGAGGTTCAAAGCCAGCCCGGGAAGGAGAGACCGTGAGACTCCTATCTCAAATAAACCACCAGAAAACCGGAAGTGGCGCTGTAGCTCAAGTGGTAGAGCGCTCGCCTTGAGCTGAAGAGCTGAAGGACAGCGCCCAGGCCCAGAGTTCAAGCCCCACAACCAACAACAAAAAAAAAAAAAAAAATCTGGAAGTAGAGCTGTGGCTCAAGTGGTAGTGCACTAGCCTTGAGCAGAAAGCGATAAAAACTCAGGGATAGTGCTCAGGTCTTGAGTTCAAGCCTCGGTCTCCATCCCAGCCGAAATAAACAAACAGGAGTCAATGGCTCATGTCTGTAATCCTAGTTACCCCAGAGGCTGAGATCTAAGGATCGAGGTTCAAAGCCAGCCCAGGCAGGAACATCTATGAGACTCTTGTTTCCAATTAACTACCAAAAAGCTGGAAATGGCTCAACATGGCAGAGTACTAGCCTTGAGCACAAAAGGTCAGGGACAGCACCTTGGTCCTGAATTCAAGCCCCAGGAATGGCAGAGAGAGAAACAGACAGACAGACAGACAGACAGACAGAAGAGAGAGGGAGGGAGGAGAGAGGGAGGGAGGGGAGAGGGAGGGAGAGAGAGAGACCAGGGATCAGGAAGCACACCAGGAGGACAGTGAAGGGAGCCAGAGGCTGGCCTGCTGCTGCTCACCTCTCCACACCCACATAGATGTGACCATGGTGGAAGGAATGGAAGAACCCCTGCACCAGTGTGGACCACTGCAGGGCAAAGGCGGCCAGGAGGAAGGTAAATCCCACGCTGCTGAAGCCATAGCGCTGCAGGAAGACCATGAGGAAGCCAAAGCCCACGAAGATCATGACATGCACATCCTGGAAACCTGCAGCAGGCAAGGGGCATGTGGAGGCATTGGAGTTGCTCTGGCCACGGTTCATAAACCTGTGCCTATGCTCTGGCTGTACCAGCCAGAGCTACCTATAAAAACTTCCCAGGCATGGCAGGGCCTCCCAGGCTTGAGCCACCTGAGCAGAGCTGACCAGCTTGGAGCAGTGGGGACCAGACTACCCCTGCTGTCCTCCGGTCAGAGCAAGGGACTAGAACCTTCTACTCTAATAATTTGTTCATTGAACTTGGTACCTGATGCTTTCACTCATTAGCTAGCGCTCTACCAACTGAGCCTCATTTCCAACCCAGGACCGTTTATTTCCCTCTTTTCTTGCTGCCTGGAAAGCTCAGTGCTGAACTGACATGTCAACTGAAACAGTGTAGGCCTTTATAGCATTTGTTATGTCAGATGTTCTGTTCTATTTTTGTTTTTCTTGCTTCTATGGGATATGCATACCTAATCTAAAATTTTTAAACCCAAAATGCTACAAAATTTAAAACTATACTGAGCACCAACTTGTTGCCCCAAGTGGAAAATTTCATACATAACCTTATTAAATGGGTTGAAAACTGCAATAACACTGAAAATATTGTAGAAAATTACCTTCAGGCTATTTGTATAAGGTGCATATGAGACATATTAAATTTCTTGTGTAGACTGGAGCCCTAGCCCCAAGATACTTCATTATGTTTATGCAAGTATTTCAAAATCTAAAACACTCGAATTTCAAAATAAGGTATATTCAAAAAAATTTAGGTAAGGTATATTCAACCTATCCATCGATTTTTTTGTTGTAAATGACCTCAAATCTCTTGTAGAAAGAAACAGATTCTAGGGCTGGGAAGGTAGCTCAGTGATAGAGCGCTTGCCTTGCATGCATGAGGCCCTGGGTTCAATCCCTCAGCACTACATAAGCAGAAAAGGCTGGAAGTGGCCCTGTGGCTCAAGTGGTAGAGCGCTAGTTTTGAGCCAAGGACAATGCCCAGGCCAAGACTTCAGGCCCCATGACCAGCAAAAAACAAAAACAGATTCCAAAGGGGAAAAAAAATGAAGTGTGTGTGTGTGTGTGTGTGTGTGTGTGTGTGTAACCATTGGGGCTTGAACTCAGAGCCTTACACTCTCCCTTGGTTTTTTTTTTTTTGCTTTGTTTTTGGGTTGTGGGGCCTGAACTCTGGGCCTGGGCGCTGTCCCTCAGCACTTCAGCTTAAGACTAGCACTCTACCACTTGAGCCACAGCGCCACTTCCGGCTTTTTTCTTATGTGGTGCTGAGGAATCGAACCCAGGGCCTCGAGCATGCAAGGCAAGTGCTCTACCACTGAGCCACCTTCCCAGGCCCTCCCTTGGTTTTTTTCACTGAAGGGGGGGGGCTCTACCACTTGAGCAATAACTGTATTTCCAGATTTTTGCTGATTAATTGGAAACAGAAGTCTCTGCCTGGGCTGGCTTTGAACTGGGCTCCTCAGAGTTCAGCTTTCTGGGTGGCTAGGGTTACAGGCATAAGCCACTAGTGCTCAGCTTTTTTTGTTTAATCTGAAAGGCATCAGGAAATTATCAAACAATTCAATCAATAACTTTGTGAGGAGCAAAGTTCTTTGCTTTTTTGGCGCCATACAGAAAGATAGATAGGAACTGAGTTTTCAAGCAGAGGATTGTGTGCTGGAATTAGAGGCCAGCAGTACCAGCAGCCAAGGAGCCAGGGCCTAAAAGCCTCTGGCCTCACTAAGTAACCCCTGCAGGGCTTCTCCAGACGATTGTTCAGGCCTCTCTGCCTGACTTCTTTTCTCCTGAATAATGAGTAAAGAGGAGACCTTGCCTTTCTGTGCCCAAGGACAGTAAGAAACCAAAGGGGGCTGGGTCATGGTACTCCAAGCCCATTACATGCACAAACTGTTCTGGAACTTGTTTTAAATAGTGATAGTGTTTATATCTCCTTACCCAGGTTTGTTTGGAGTCAAAACTCAATATCTGGCCATTCAACTGGAGTCTAAGCATCAAGTGGTTTCTCTCCCTGGAGAACATTTCATACCAAGAGTCTCCTTGGGCTCTGATGGGTAAAGGGCTAGTACAATGAGAGATGGGATGATGGCTAGGATGATGCTCTCCACCCTTCAGGAGCATGAGCCTACATCCTGCCCTCTTATATCCCCCTAATCTTTGATTGGAGTAGATAAAAACTCTTTACTTAGCCAGGTGCTCAGTGACTAACATCTGATATCCTAGCTATGCAGGAGGCTGAGATCTGAGAATAGAGGTTTGAAGTCTTTCAGAGCAGAAAAGTCTATGAGTGTCTTATCTTCAATTAACCATCAAAAAGCCAGAAGTGTAGCTGGTGCTAATGGCTCATACCTGTAATCCTAGCTACTCAGGAAGCTGAGATCTGAGGATTGCAGTTCAAAGCCAGCCCAGGCAGGAAAATCTGTGAGACTCTTTTTTTTTTTTTTTTTTGCCAGTCATGGGGCCTGAACTCTCGGCCTGGGCACTGTCCCTCAGCTCTTCAGCTCAAGGCTAGCGGTCTACTGGTTTTGAGGTCCTACTGGAGCCACAGCACTACTTCCAGCTTTTTCTGCTTATGTGGTGCTGAAGAATCGAACCCAGGGCCTCATGCATGCAAGGCAAGCACTCTACCACTGAGCCACCTTCCCAGCCCCTCTGTGAGACTCTTATCTCCAATTAACCACCAGAAAACTGAAAGAGGCACTGTGGCTCAAAGTGGTAGAATGTTAGCCTTAAACAAAAACAACAACAACAAAAAAAATGAGTTCAGGGACAGCCCCATGACCACCACCACCAACAACAACAAAAAAAAAAAACAAGCCAGAAGTAGAGCTCTCTCCTTGAGTGGAAAAGCTAAAGGAGTGTGTGTCCAGGCCCTGGGTTCAAGCCCTAGTACTAACAAAAAATAAAATAAACCAGCTTCTAGTTCATCCCTTTTTTAATTTATGGTATGACTTTGGGCAGGTCACATGTTTGTGAAACCCTCCCCAACATTTGAAAGAGGTGGATCAGATGCCCTGATGATTTTCCCTGCACACAAAACACAGCCCTTCAGAGTGGCCATGCCCTTGACACTGGCCAGTCCCGGAGCTCACCAACAACTGCACAATTTCCTTTCATCTCCCGAATCAAAGGATGGTGGCTGCACCTCCCTCTGGCCCTGAACCTTTCCCTTGGACACAAGGAGAGGTGAGGACCGGGTTCATCAAAGCTCCGAGCACTAGAGACCTTACACCTCTCTCCTGCCCAACCTTTCCTCACCACAGGGTCAAAGTCCACAGGGACAGGAACCTAGAGCAGAGAAAGAACACAAATACAGCTATGTCCTTCTTACTGCACTGTGTGTCTGAGATCTAGCACTGCTGAAGGGCTAGAGGTTGGACTCCAGGAGGCTTTGTAACAGGCAGGCAGGGTTTTGAGGTCCTGAGTGAAGATCACAGATAAAGCAAGCCAGGGGGTGGAGTTGGGGGCCAAGGAAGATATCGAAGTCAGATTCATGAGCAAAAGACCTTCCTTTTCTTTCTTTCTTTCTTCTTTTCTTTTCTTTTTCTTTTTGTTGTTGTTGTTGGTTGTGGAGTTTGAACTCTGGGCCTGGACGCTGTCCCTCAGCTCTTTAGCTCAAGGCCAGCACTCTACCACTTGAGCCACAGTACCACTTCTGGTTTTCTGGCAGTTTACTGGAGATAAGAGTCTCACAGAATTTCCTGTCCGGGCTGGTTTTGAACCATGATCCTCAGACCTCAGCT